GTGACCACAGTTGGCGTTGAAATCATCTATTCACAAATCAGTGAAGTTGAAAACAACTTGAAACTTAAAAAACCTGAAAATCATAATTCACAGTAATTAACAATAACTACTTGCACCAAAATTAATTTAGCACTTATTTGATACGAGTACTTATATGATACGCTGGCAATGAAATCATCTATTCAGAAATCAAAGAAGTTGATAAAACTTGAAAATCACAATCCACAGTAATTAAGAATAACTTTCACCAAAATTAATTTGCCACTTATTTGATACGTGTTCATGCAGAAGTGCAGTGAGGGTGGGGGGTGGGGGGTGGTGGGGGTGGGGGGATTGTGGCTCATCGATAATCGCACATCGATAATCGTTTTGTCTCTTTAACACTTAGTCTACTTGACATAATATGTGAATTTCTAGAGCACTAGTGGCCCTGGGCAAACGTGCAACATAATTTATATACAGACTTGACATTTAATATGAAATGTTTCAGTTTCAAAGGTATACCTAAGTAAAATGCGTTCTTTTTTTTTTCTAAAAACTCTGATCTCATATTAGATATGTGAAAAAAAAATTGTATGGTTAGGTGTGTCGCTACAAAATATATGCAACTGAACAAAAGCCACCCAGTCAGTTCAGAATGAGGGACAAGTTGCCGCCAAAACGTCTTTTTCAAGGCCATTAGCAAACACCAACTGGATTTAGCAGGTTAGAATACCTCTGAGGAAGACACTGTAAACAGTAAAACATCTTCGTCTGTTTCTCTAATGAATTGGGAACCATGACCGTTTCTGGGTAGAACACTTAAACCGCCCGGCTTTCTTTATTGAGGTCAGATTTCACCCTTACCGCTCAACTACTCAAAACATAGTTAACAGACATCCTGAAGAGGCGTGTACCGCGTCTAAAGTGACTAGGGTCACTGACAGCGTCAGTGGATATCACACTGATGCCAATTTAAACACCAATGGCAGTCATCGATGAAAACCTGAACCACATCAAATAAAGTGTAATATTCAGGGAACCACGTGACTATCATTTGATGGGGGGGGGGGGCTTAGGAGCAATTTCAGGTTGCACGATTGGATTATCAGTTCACAAAGGGCACTTTTAATTTTTAGCAGATACTTTACAGAACCAACGGAATGAGCAGCTATATAGAAAATATGTGGATAGACTATTACTAGCCGAATCAACGGCCTACAACAAAACTGAACCAAATTGGGCAAGTTTTGACCGATGCCGGGAATGTTATTCCGGATTAAACTCTAAAAACCTATCCCAAGGAATCCCTTGCCGCTTGAGAGCCATGGAAGCAGCCAGATGAGGTCAGGCGTAACAGTGACCGTTGCTGTGACAACAAAGAGATTTTTAAAAGTTATCGTATATTTTAATTCTTATTTTCATTTATAAGTCAGCAAAATCGGAAAAAAAAACTGATGAAAAATGATTTGGAAAAAAAAAATACTATATATCAAGTCTGCATTTAATCGTCGTGCATTTTCGAAGTCTCTTGATCAACATACCAAAAGTCCAAAATAATTCTTTTGTAGGAAACATTAACGACTCAACCTTTTGAAACCAATCCAGATATTTATCTGTATCAAAGTATGCAGAGGGAGAACAACCGTACCCGAAGTTCAGAAGAACTTATATCCTCCAATGCATTGGCACATTCCAAAACTGTAATATGGCCGGAAGAAGTGATCGACCTCTCGTAAGATTATGCTTTACAAACGTATCTTTTAGCATAAAAAAAAAAGAAAAAAAATCTGCAAATGTTTTCTGTGACATTACCGCTCGACCTCTGAAAAAAAAAAGAAACTTCACCATGTTAATGTAAAAATTGACTCATATTTAGCCTAAATCATGCTTTCTTATTTTCCAATATCCGTGTTTATCTTCATCTAAAGACAAAATTCATTTTTCATAATGCATTTTAATTATTTTTCATTTATTTACCATGGATTTTTTTTTACAATATTGCACCTATTTATCTGTCCCGGTTTTCTAAGCGACAACTCGGATTCCTAAACCGATCCCACCACGCCGTTCGACGCTGAAAAGCTCGTGTCCATATTCCTATTCTTTCCCACCGCCAGGGCAAATGTGCAGACCAAGTCTTTAGTGAGGGTAAACCCCCAGTCGGTCATTAAAAGGCAGTAGTCGGCTAGAGCTGCCTCATCAGAGTGACTGAGGGCCAACTTCCCATGCACCCCTCCCTTGAGAGCACCTGTGGTATATTTAGGAAAAAGAGAAGAAGAAGAAGATAGGCCTACAAGATAGAGATAGATGAAATGCTAAATGCTAAATGATTAATAAGTTAAGGGTATCTATTTTGATTTTTTTATTATTTTCATCGGAAAAAATTCAAACATGTGTCTTTTGTATAGGCCTACCTTAAATATGATGAAAAATGTTCGTCTTTGGCACGTCAAATATAGCCTACGTGCCGCCTCTTAATACTGGCGTAGGCCTCTTAATACTAAATACTGAAAACGAGTCATCCCTTAGGCCTACGGCACTGACGGTAGCATGCAACTTCTATGGGCGAATTTTTCTCTTTGGTATGCTGAAATTCATCGTACATTAACAAGGTCAGTAACTTTTTTTTCTCATAAAGTCCAATTATAAAAAGTCACCATGAAGTGTTATTTTGTGAGAACAAATTTATCAAAGGCACAAGACGCATGAGCCTAATAGCGCTCGTAGCGTCCTCTAGCGGCAGTTGACAGGGCACAGAAAGCACCCACAGCGTTGCCGAACATTCAAGCCATTTTTATGAGATCTTGGAATACTTCAGCTTTGCTTGTTACTCTTGAAAGTGGACGTTTTGAAAATGATTTCAATTCGCAGAGAACTATAAACACAAACAACGTAAGAGACGAGACAAGTTACAACATACTAAAGAAGTAAAAGAGGGACAGCGATCGATGTAACTACCCGTAACCGATATAAAATTGTCAGAAATCGTGATCGGAAACTGACAGTAACATATGCAGACGAGAGAGGACAGTAAACGACTTTAAAACCTACTTGAATAAATGTAAGTTCACTATTATTTTTTATCAAATTTGAGAGCAACGAACTTTCAAACGCTAACACTCCAGTTGTGTCAGGTCATAGTGTGCGTCTTCATAGCATGTTTGATACATTGTAGCAGACGCCTGAAACTTACGTGGAAACGGGGATTGTTTACGCTCTGCATTCTGGGAAAAAAGGACAAACTTCAAGTTTTGTTCCATAATCCGGGGTCGTTCCGTAATGCGGGTTCGGAGTCTTTATCTGCATAAATAATTTACATAAAAGAAGCTACAACAAATTCAATTTGACCGACCAAGACCATTTCGAAGTATCAATCCACGCAGTGGCGGATTAGGAGGGGAAGCAGGGGGTCCTGACCCCCCCCCCCCCCCTTCGATTTCTGGTCTCCTCATGAAATTAGAATTGTTGGGGGGGGGGGGGGGTCGGCTTTTCATCCGCGGACCCCCCTTCAAATAATCCTGGATCCACCCCTGATACTTTTGTCGATATATGATTATTGTATGGGTTTGGAAATTAAAAAAAAAAAAATAATAAGGAAATGAAAACATTATTTTATTAATGTTTTTAGATTTCAGATGTGTGAATTCGTACATGAATGATCCAACATACTGGAACGACTACCGAAGACAATGCGGATATCTAAGAGATTCCTTTTTCTTTCAACTATCATATTTGCCTCAGTGTTTCTAATTTCATGGGTGAGTCGAAGCAAAGTGGTGAACTACAGAGACAACAGGGACACAAAGACACGAAACATGAAAAGACCAAATGCTTGGGTAGGCTTACCTAAGTCCCTAAGTTTTATATTTGAAATAAGGTATGCAGTTGTACGACCGAGAAATTATAGCCAGACGACTGGGAAGAGATTTGTGTATCTCATTGAAAGCCCTTCAAAGGGGGACATCAAAGGATTACAAGAAACAAACGAACGTGACGTCATTTGGCTGACATTTGCAGACAGGTCAGGTGATATTTACGCCCCAGACACCTCCGCTGCTTCTGGAAGAAATGTGCTTCTGCAGCACGCGGTGAACTTAGCGTCCCAAATGAAAGACGGCGGTTATCTTTATTATATATTCATGGACGACGACCTGGAGCTTTCAGTTAAGTCGGATGGACAGGTCAATTGGAAACCTTGGCCCAAGATGCCCTCGGACCCTTTTCAGCTGTTCGAGGAGTTTCTTATGTATTACCAACCTGCTGTGGGGCACGTACGTTACCAAGATATGAGTAGACAGTTTGTCAATACAAAAGAGCCCGTGAACTTGAACTGGGATTTTGATGAGTGTTTGAATGCTTTCCACAAGGATACACTGTCATTTCTGGTACCTTACGATTTGCAACTAGACTGTGAATCGTGGTTTAATGGCGCCTGGATGACTCGTCAGCTGATTTCGATGCTGTATCATAGGTATCGCATTCAGTGCAATTCGTTGCATGTTGCTAATAGTATTTCAAATAGAATCATCTCAAAGGACAGGTACAAGCAAAATTTTGATTACGAAATGCCGCGAGACTACATCTCGTCTGCTTTGCTGAAGAAAACAAAAACTAATCCTCCCAAAGTCAACCCATTAATTGAAGCTGTATTAAAAGGAACGTCTTCGCGCCAAAGTCCAGGTACTCTACAGCCAGGTCCTTACATAAAGATTCCAGGGAAGCCAAAACTGAAAGGCAACCAATCGTATCTTGTGACACCGGATTTCATCCTTCAACACTGGGACCATACCCATCCCATGATTAGGAAGAAATTAGCTTGGCTGCGAAAACCAGAGATACAGAAAATCCTTGGACTAGATAACCGTCTCCAGCAGCCATTTACACCCGATACTTTGTACTGCTCAGGACCGAATAACTTTTCACTATTAATTGGACAATGAAATCAAAAGGCCTTACACAAGCTTTCCATGCAACTTATTTTCAAACGTTTATCTGCGTTAGAGTCGATCATTTGAATAAATGTCTTTTTGTCATAAAATTATGATTAACTATGTTCTAACGTCTTGCGCTACAGAGACAATGCTATACTGGTATTACATGATTATTTCTTGTTGACAAAGAGTATTTTGTAGAACATTATTCAAACATTAATCGCACGTGCTGTATCGGATTCACGTGTTTACGTACATGTGTAAGGGGTGTACAGGTTGAGTTAAGAATATGAAAAAAAAATCACCAAATCACCTCCTATGTAAGGGACATATGAAATGATTCCCTACGCTTCTTTTAAGTTAGTAAGTTTATTATTGAAGGTTGCAATGGGCTCGAAATAGGATCCTTTGTTCTCCACTTACTTAGCGCAAAATACAATGCAGATACTAACGGTTCTCGTACGTACTGTCGATAAAAAGTACACATTAAGGCCGGTAATTTGATCTGTTCTTTTGTTAGAGTTATTGTTCAGCTCATTCTTATTTAAGGAAGAAGTCAGAGATGAGCAATAGTAAAGTGAGGTTAAATTTCGACTGCAAAGTTGCTTAATCCGAGTAAAATGCATAGACATTGATGAGAATGCCGTATATTTTTCTTTTGGAGTCTGCCTGTATGTAAGACAGCAGCGTTACCACGCAGCCACGAAAGCTCCGTTGATTCAAATTGATCAGATGAAAACTTTCAACCTCATCTCGGAGAGCGCCAGATTCGGTGTACATATGCAGACCTGCTGTCGCAATCGATAATCCGGGTGCTGCATTTCAGCCCACGCAACGCCAGTCCCCGACATGAACGGTAAACTTCATGATGTACACGAAGTCGTGTTTGACAACCCGACTCGGAGCTCGGAGTNCATTTCATTAGCTGCATTAGTTTTGGACTTTTTCGTTAATATCTTAGAGGCCTTAAGCGCAGTTTAAGTTTAAAAAAGGACAAGACGGCTAAAATTATGTCGTAACGAAGAAAGTTTATTTTTCCTTGTATCTCATTTTAGGTGGAACTAAATGGTCTGCGCGTCGCCGTGGCTGTGTCCTCGACTCTTAGGTGACTGGATTGTGACAATGCCCCCCGCCTGCGCTGTGTCCGTAGCTGAGTTTGAGTACTTCGACCTGCATCCTTGAAAGCAAGCAACTCTACAGCTGAATGGTGGACACCGCTGACGCCACGATGTGCACTTCGCCCTGCCATTCGCCGATGATGCCCACGATTTCCATAGAAAGACTTTTAAAAGTGTTCACGCCGTTGTTTAAAGACTCTAAAATACTGTCATCGTCATGAAAAGACTTTGTTTTATAAAACGCTGAACTGCCCGGTTTCCAGAGCTATTTTTCCCTAAATTGATAAAGAAAGATATAAGTTAAAGGGTTTTATCGCTGGTTTTCCCCCTGGCGTACACTAAAACATGTAATTATGTGTAATTTTCGTAATCTTTGTAAATATTGTATATATTATTATTTAGAGTGAACGTCTCCAACATGAGTAATGAAAAAAAAAATTATTCTGGAAAAAATGGAAGGAATATGTCGGGTCCGACATAAAGATCATACGAAGTCGTATGACGTAATGTCTTGTAGTCTAATAGCTCTTGAGTAATGCGGCGGTCTCTGTGTATGACGCCGAGGTAAAGAAATTAATTATACAATTAAAGGTAGTTAAAGTTTGCGTCAAGGACCATACATGTAGATAAGGAATAAGGATATAAGCAATACCTTGAGAAAGATACGGGGGAGTGAGGTAGAAGGAAGCAGCGGGGAAGGAGGTTGGAAGCGACGGTGTACGGAGCTGACGAGTTAAGAGTTGGAGGCTTCACTTAGGGTCTATTCCCACAACTTTAGATCGATCTATCACCGCGGGGAGTCTCACTAGATTACTGTGAGATAATCCCCCTTAAGTGTCCGTCCCCGCCTACTACCAGCTGTAAGAGGTAATTAACTTTCGTGTCCGCCCGGCTGACAGCTATTTAGCGTGAACCCCCAGTGAGTTAGGTCGATCGAAAGTAGGTCGATCTAATCTATGGAAATGGGGTGTTAGAATATGTAGTTACGTAGCGTCAACGAATAAATCATTAAACTGGTCATTATGTGGACTTGGGTTTTCTTTGCGCGACCTTACGTAAATCTGACACGAACTGTGGAATCTTTGGATCGCGTTATCCACTATGTAAGTCTAAAACGTAATGTTCTATTTCGAGCCCACGCTTGAATTAAGCGTACAAAATTATATAAGTTTAGGACGTTCATCATAGGCATATGTAAAAGGTTCATTACACCGGGTACTGTATGAACATATGAACAGTCTTGAGAAGCAAGGGTCCAACATAGGAAAGGAAGGGCATTAAAAAAAAGAAACAAACAAAACTGATAAAAAGAGTAGAGGTGACGCAAATTTTGTAAAAAATCAAAAGTTTTCTCTCTGATAATCCCACCAAGAAGATAGCACATTTTGATGAAATGCAAGCCATACGGAGTTAGTTATAGCTCAATTTATGTTCAAGATCAGTGGCACCAATATAAGGCCTTTTTAACTGAAGAGAAAGGAAAAAGAATTGTCGCAAATGTAAACTTTCTAAAGTATACCGTATTTTTATGCAAAAGGTAATTTGCTAAGTCCCACGAGATCCCTCATTCGTTCCCGTCTCGTGACATCCCGATTCAGGGGCAAGGTCGTTGTAGTGATGGACTGACGTACCTCATCTGGGACTCGAACCGGTGACTTTGAGTTACCATGGTTGATGACGCTTTGGATGTCTCATTTATATCCATGCACGCTACCGACTGCTCCGTGACAGACCCGCCCACCCTCCGTACGTGCGAGTTTCCTCTTATAGTAATCAATCGCAATTTTCAAAAATTAATTCTGGCAAAAAGAGAAATGAGACGATAACTACTGTGACTCGAACTAGCGACCGAGAGTCTGCCTGTATGTAAGCCAGCAGCGTTACCACGCAGCCACGACAGCTCCGTTGATTTTAATGGATCAGATGGAAACTTTCAACCTCTTCACGGAGAGCGCCAGATTGGGTGTGCATGTGGAGACCTGCTATCGCAATCGATAATCCGGGTGACGCATTTCAGCCCACGCAACCCCAGTCCCCGACATGAACGGTAAACTTCATGATGTACACGAAGTTGTGTTTGACAACCCGACTCGGAGCTCAGAGTTGGTTTTATACTAAGATGGTTTTGGCTTTACCCATGATATTAAAGAGTACCTTGGGATCAGAGGCGGTTCACAACAGGAAGGTTTTAATTTTAGCGAGACCATAACAGGAGAGAATAAAAAAAAATACATTCAAGTGTTTAATTACTGGTGCGATTGCAGCCACGGAAATTTTCAGTAAGACAAATTTGGCAAATAATTCCGCCGAGGAGTTATCGTTTTACTACCGAACGTGGTTAAGAGGTGGTATGACGTGCTTTAATACCGGAAAAGCTACAGAATCAAAACAATTTGGATCGTATTCACTGATAGGCCTGCTTAGTACGTTCCTAGTAAGCTGACTTCGGATGCTTTTATTTTCATTTGGTTTTGCATTGAGATAACGTTTGGTTTCACCTTTGACGTTGTGGAGCACGATGACGTCCACAGCTGTTCACACCTCAGTAGTTTAAGTATTGAGTAGTCTTTATTCTTTCAAATGTCGACTGCTAACTTGCCCCGGGTACTGTATGAACATATGAACAGTCTTGAGAAGCAAAGGCCCAAGATAGGAAAGGAAGGGCATAAAAACAAACAAACAAACAAACAAAATGCGTGCCTGATAAAAGGAGTAGAGGTGACGCAACTTTAGTAAAAAATCAAAAGTTTTCTCTTTTTTGATAATCCCACCAAAGAGATAGCACATTTTGATGAAATGCAAGCCATACGGAGTTTGTTATAGCTCAATTTAAGTTCAAGATCTGTGGCACCAATATAAGGCCTTTTAAACTGAAGAGAAAAGAAATAGAATTGTCGACGCAGATGTAAACTTTCTAAAGTATACCGTATTTTTATGCAAAAGGTAATTTGCTAAGTCCCACGAGATCCCTCATTCGTTCCCGTCTCGTGACATCCCGATTCAGGGGGAAGGTCGTTGTAGTGATGGACTGACGTGCCTCATCCGGGACTCGAACCCGTGACTTTGAGTTACCATGGTTGATGACGCTTTTGATGTCTCATTTGTATCCATGCACGCTACCGACTGCTCCGTGACAGACCCGCCCACCCTCCGTACGTGCGAGTTTCCTCTTATAGTAATCAATCGCAATTTTCAAAAATTAATTCTGGCAAAAAGAGAAATGAGGAGATATCTACTGTGACTCGATATGGCCATCCATTCTGGTCTTGTCTTGTCAAACTTGTGCAAGCGAGTAAAACCTATAGCATTACTACATGTACAAGTTAGGACCTCTGAAAGTGTGGCAGTAGCTTCAAGTATACCATCTGATATGAAAAGGGCCTGAGAGTTCATTCATAATTTGTTAAACTGCATTAGCTACTGCACACTAACTCCAAGGGGACTGTCGCTGAGTCCAATCAGATGAACACGCTTCTGTTTGTTTCCATCATACTTGCATTATACGGTATTAATAATCACCAGCTCCTCTACTCATTGCCAGGAAGAGGTGCAGTTGTCTGTTAATCTGATTGCATTCTAGGAAGTGAAAGATACCTATGGCCTACATGTAGTTGAGAGTATGAAGCTCTAGGGGCTTAAATGTCTATCACGCCTACCGAATCAGCTAGGGGTAAAGCTAATTACCCCCTAACAGTTTTACTAGGCGTGACAGATGTTTACTAGTAAGCCTGTTAGTTTGATAGCAATTAAGTGAGACTCCCCAGGGAGATAGATCAATCTAATTATCTGTGGGAATGGTCCCTAACTCTAGGGGGGTGTCCTTAGATAACCTTTTTCCCCAAAACAGTGCCAAAACCACCTAAAAAGATGCTTATACATCTTAAAAGCAAACTACAAAAAAAAAAACAAATTAGTCTATCTCTATTATCAGAGCTGCTACTTGAGTTTAAGTATTTTGGAGAAAAATCGCTAAAAATACTTAAACTCTGTATTTTGTAAGAGATGATGGTTTTTCATATCAATGTTTATGCTTACAATTTAACACAAATTTCATTGTGACTAACAATTCTGACAGACTAAATGCATATGAAAACTAAACTGAGTGTTCTAACACCTAGATAATGATTCATAATAAGTTCAAAAAGACAGGAATTCAATAAGAATTCAATTCACTAAGAATTCAATGCTTTTTGGAAGCCTAAGTCAGCTTTATGGTGGATCTTTCTTTCTTTTTTCCCAACAACTTTTTCAGGTTCATTCTAAACTGTTCTGGAGTTAACATCCTTCTCTTCCCTCCATTAATATTGAATATCCTGAAGACAGGACTACATTTTGGCAGTGTTAGGGATGTGTCTCTAGCGTATGTGACCCCCCCCCCCCATGACATTTTGACTCCCCCTACAAAACTTTATAAATCTTATTTTATTTGAGTATATGACTTTTATCTTGTAGTATACATAATAGAGGATACATTAGCACTTTTTGCTAGTTTGCAGGTAAATGTTTTCATGAGAATAGATGAAAATTAAAAATGTTTATTCTACCAAACAATGAATCCCCTATGGAAAAGTTGTTTACTTGATATTTGGTGATCATTTCAATTTCACCAATTTTTTGCCACCATACTTTCGAATACTAACAAAATATTTGTCACAATGCAATGGTGACTAAATATAAAATGGGGTTTTGTCTTCATGGGAGTCCAAATACCATGGATATGAAAATGGAGATTTTTCAGGATTTTTTTTTCATTTTTTTAACCCAATATTTTACAATCAAACTTTCTAATATTTCCAATATGTTCTTAATAAAGTATACTTAATGGAAAGGTATTGAAATGATCATCAAATATCAAATAAATAGCTTTTTCATAGGGGAGTCTTTGGGTTGTAGAAGTCATATACCCAAATAAAATAAGATTTATAAAGGTTTGTAGGGGGGAGTCAAAAATTTCATGGGGGGAGTCAGATTTTCATTATGAAATTTTGACTGGGGGGGGGGGGNNNNATAGAAAGGTATTGAAATGATCATCAAATATCAAATAAATAGCTTTTTCATAGGGGAGTCTTTGGGTTGTAGAAGTCATATACCCAAATAAAATAAGATTTATAAAGGTTTGTAGGGGGGAGTAAAAATTTCATGGGGGGGGGGGGGGGGGTGTCAGATTTTCATTATAAAATATTGACGGGGGGGTCAGATTTTCATGTTACACCGGTATTTAGTAGAAACAGTTTTCCATAATTTGCTAGTTTCTTTAGCACAGTCCCTCAAGCCACAGCCTCTAGTTTTGGTTTCTTCCTCAATCTTTGATCCGTGTCACCACACTGCCGTTCCATTTAAAGGTTGTGGACAGGGGTCTCATCCATGTTTTCACACTGATCAAACACAGAATATTCAGCTGGATATTCACCAAGTCCATGGTATTTTCCGCGTTGCATAGCCAGAACCTTTGCCATTCCTGGTAATATCTTCTTTGTCAAAGCTATGCACTCATTCAGATGTGCACTAGCACATCGTTTCACACTCTCAACTACATGTAGGCCATAGGTATCTTTCACTTCCTAGAATAATTCTTGGTTGAAACAAAAAACTCAGGAGCATCTAGCTGAAAGAAATTCTCATTTACCTCATTTCTACTCAGCTTTAGATGTAATCATTGAAACTTTTCTTTCAATTTGCTGTGTGTTGCACCCCAGGATATTGTTATGGCATGAAACTAATTGAATGCTACAACAGCAGCAACTATTCTGATATATTCCAATGCCAGAGCATCTCTTACAAGACAAGCTAGATGCCATCATTGTCTAGCTAGTTTTTCAGTAATACAGTATAGATACCCTAAAAAGATAACGAAATCATGAGAAATGTTGAATTACCATGATGATGTTATTGATTTAAGGTGTCAATGCCGACATGATTTTGAGTATTTAGCTAGCTTTCAAATAAACTTTTTACACAAATTTCTTAAAAACCAAATAAAAAACCCATCTATTTGGCTTTGGTGAGTTTAAAATAACTTGTCAGGCCTATGTAACTTTCATTCATGTTGTAGGAAATAGTCCCGAAACAGTAGAAAATCTTGAAAATCGCGCTAAAATGCTAAAAATCGTGTAATCATAAAATGTAGCAGCTGAGTTATCAACGATCTTTCAAAAAGTATCATTTGAAATATTGTTTTTAGGTGTGTAAGGAACTTTTTAGCTGGTTTTGACATATTTTTGGAATTATGGACCCCCCTTACTAACTCAGACTATTGACCTTCTACTGTTTACACAGCTAGGTTACTTTAAAGAATCAGACCCTCTTACACAACGTCAAGCCATTTTAATTGATCAGACTCCCTTACACAGACCCTAATAAAGAATCAGACCCCTGCGCGCAAGCCATTTTAATTGTTCAGTCTCTTTTACACAAGCCTCTTTCAGGAATCAGGCCTTCTTACTCAGGTCTTTTTAAAGAAGCAAACCCCCTTACACAGGCCTCTTAAGTCTTTAAAGGATCAGACTCTCTTATACAAGTCTCTTTGAAGAATCAAGCTCTATTTAAAAAAAACGTTCAATTTGCAAATATGCATATTCAACTCCATGTGTGTTCAGCATTTAGCACTAGACCAACAAATGTTGTGTATTAATAGACCGAGGTTTAAGTACTTTGTTGATACATCGGTAGAGTTTTAATACATATTGTGACAGCCACACTTAAGAGTGCAGCAACTGTTTAACCACCTTCATGCAGGTTTTGTCAAGTATTTAACTTTTGAATACTCGGGACGACTCTAAAGAAGTTCATACTGAGGAATTAGTTTGACAGGGATAATTTTAGAAAACTGTTGAACAAAGAGGTAGGTCCTGATTAATGCTAAAAGAAAGGGTTGGGTACACTGGGTGATTTGGTTGGTTTTAACCAAAAAGTGTCTTTAAAATCTGATTAATGCTAAAAGAAAGGGTTGGGTACACTGGGTGATTTGGTTGGTTTTAACCCAAAAGTGTCTTTAAAAAGTGCCTTTCCCTCTGAGAGGCCCCCGTAACATGGAGTGATACAGAATTCAACTGATAAAGACATGACCAGTCCATTTGAAGCACTTCCTGGTCAGGTGAGATATACAAAACTGTGCTGTTCGATGTGAAAAAGGAACCTACTCAGGCAAATGTAATAAACCAAATGCTAGTACTAGTGTCAAATTATTTATGACATAATTTTAAGTGAGAGATATTGATTGTACAAGCAGTTCACTACAAGTAGTGGCAGGCACAGGCTTTTGTTTGAGTTTGGGAAGGGAGGGGGGGGGGTCTGCACAACAATGAAATGAAAATCATTTGGACAAAATATTTTTAAGAGAAAATGATTTTAGTTAAAGTATCATGTTGTCCGAGTTAATTAATCAATTCTGTATCTCCTGTATTGTCCACAACTAGTATTTGACTAAAAAATGTGAATGGAAAACCAATTAACCCCAAGGTGATGAAGTAGCATACAGGTTACTGTATTTGCTGTGTTACCTGACAACTCAGGAACGGTTTATTGATAAGGGGACCAGGGGTATTGTTTAGATATTAAACAACTTGTTAATGTTGTTGACAGGGCTGACATTTTAATTTCCTGATAGATTTGGTTCAGGTTTGGTATAATCATGAGGGGCAAACATAATCAGACTACACCAGGTCTGAGGAGTTGGTCAACTGTGGATTTAGGGATTGAAATAATGCTTGGTTTTAGCTTGTTTCATATGTAAGACTGTTGTTAGGAGGGGAAGGAAAAAGTCCTGATCATTATGTGGTGATATCTAAAAACAACTTTGTATTGACCTCTGAAACTCATCAGGGTGGTCAGTTCCAAAGCCAAAAATTTCAAAGAGGGGGTTCTGTTTCGGGGAAAAAAGTAGACCTTTTACCATCAAGCCCTTCATGTACCTAGATCAAAATTTAAGGGGCATTGTTCAAGCCTCCAAAACCCAAACCGCCACCCCTCCCCATCCCCGACTACGACTATGAGCCTGGTGATCATCAGAAACTTAACTCTAAAAATGAGTTTTCATTGATCACTGAAACCCCAATGTGGTCATAAAGCACTGCCCATGACTGATAAGTAGCAAACACTGTAAAATGAATTAGAGAGCATTATCTGGTAACCAGCTTAGTGCTTGCATGTTGAGCTGTAGATATTATATCATACGAGTCTTAACGAACAATGTAATTCCTAAATCAACATGGAGATGACTGACCCAGTGATTGCTGTTAATTGCAATTAATTGATTTGGGAGCTGCGGGTTCATTAAATTGTGTTTGAATGGGGATATTTGCAGAGCTACTAGTACGTATGCCTGGTACCCTGAGTGTCAGAGCAACGTGAAAGTTAGTTTGTTTAATATTTAATATAGCTTGGAGTCACTTTCACTAGCTCTGACTAACAGCGACAAACTGAGGGCGTTCTTCTTCAAAATTTTGCCTGGGGCGCTTCCATATTTGGAAGTCACACGTCACAGCTGTGTCCGCCTGGATCCATATTTGGAAGTCATAAGTCTCGTACGTCACAGGTTTTTTCCGCCTGGAGCTGCCTTTCTCGCCTTGCGCTGACATAATCTCGTGCAGACGAGACAAGAATCAAAGTGTCTGAAGCGGATTTAGAAGTTTGAATTGAAAATATCTTGCAGTCGAAGGTCAGTGCCACAATACAAGCAACATTCTGCTTTAAAAATTGATTTTGGTGTAGCCATTGCGCAGCCCTTATAGTGGTATCGGGTGTAGCTGTCAAACTTGGCACACGGAAAGCACGTGTATTGTAATATCTCAGGACTAAATGTTCCTTGATAAGCAAAAAATACAAAAACATGGGATATACCTTCTTCTTTCAGAAACATTTTATTTATTTCTCACTTTACATATCTTAAATACAACAAATAAAATTAAATAAAGCAGAATTAAATCTGTTTTACGTTTCATTTTGGTCTGATGACATTCAACTGCAGATTCACTGCGGAGCCGTTCTATTTGATTGACTGGAGCCTAACATGGCCGCTGTGCACTAGAGCCTGTTATTGCGACATGGGTTATATATGAAATCAAGATCGAGCTGGCAATACCGGAATCTAGAACCTAGGGTAATGCCTGGGGGACTTGGAGGGACAAGAGAGAAAGGGGGAGTAATGGAAAGGGTAGGTAATGTGCAATAACTATAACACGCTGTAACCTAAATAATTAACTACAGCTTTAGAAAATGCACAGTGTCTAGTTGATGTTATAAAGGTTAGAGGATACTTGAATGATACTATTTACAAAGTAACATATATGAGATGAAAGAGAAAAAGTTCAAGGAGAGAGGAACACTTACATACATTTAGTAAAGCAAATTATATTGAATTATTAAGTCGAATGATTATTGAATCTAGTTCTAGAAAACACATGTACTAGTAACAGCTAGACTTTAGTTCATTAAGTATATTCAATTGTGTACTAGTACTCTTCCAATCTCTAAAAATGAAGATTTCTTTGTGTGTGTAAGTATGCTGCATTGACTTAACATGACTCAGCTGAGCACAGTCTGAGAGACTTGACTGTTTTATAAGTACTGAATATGTGAACTGAAGTTTGCTTGTGGCAACCTAACTTAAAGTACTGTATCAGGGAACAAATAGGTGATGACTTAGTTGTTGTTGTGGCAAAATTCCCTCCTGTAAAGGAATGTGCACATCTAGTTAATAGCCCAATATCTGCAGATATCTGTTGAAAAATTTTCTCCTGAGCCTTGGTACCTGTAGAGTATAAACTTTTAGACTTATTTACTGTAGGCTTAAGGGGGGCTTAACTACATGGGAGGTATCGGATATACACTGGGATTGTTAACTAAAAAATGTGAAAGGATTGAATGTCTGCTACCCAAACCAATCACTCACACTATCTATTGTCAGTTAAGTGGGTCAGTCACCAATATCCTAGGTGCGTTTTTATCCTTGTCCAGTGACCTATCAATAATTCTGACTTGCGAATAGAAATGTAGAGCAAACACTGTATTAACGAGGCTGTTTTCTTACACGGAACAACATAACAACGCGCTATTAAAACTTGATGTTGTTTGCCTGTGACTGCCAGGTAATATTTACGCATGCTTATATATACTGTAGTACTAGCATGTTATAGAACAGAGAGTACTCTGCATACTCAGTTATAATATTTTATATCATTGATTATACCTTTAAATAGTTGTAAGTTGATTTTTCCTTAAAGTGTTAGCTACATGAATTTAAAAAATGATATGTTGTTGAATTTTTTGTTTTCTGGATAAAACCAATTTTTTAAAGCAATTTTGCTGGAAAAAATATGGCATTTGTCAGTAATTTAAACATAATTTTATCAAATATATATATATATATATATATATATATATATATATATATATATATATATATAGTTTCACCGTTTTCCAGTGTCCTAAAATCTGCCTTTGGATCTTATTTAGGGACAGTTATAGAGATTTGTTTATACACTTGTCTATGTGGAAATGATACGAAACCCAAACCTCCATTATAAAGTGTGAAATCCAGTAAAATAATGTTAATTTGATCAGGAATGCCATCTGAATCAGACTTTTTCTCCTTTGATTTGTCCCTCAAATAAAAAAGGAAAGTGAGTAAAGAAAGATCACAAGTGTCAGGCACAGGGGTGTAGTGACTATGTTGACACTAGGTACGTTTCATTAGTCGCAGTGAAAAGTCGGCAAAGAAACAACATCTGGATGCCAGGCGGGAAGGTGTCAACATTTTTCGTTTAGATAAAAACCTGAACACTTTTCAGACATGGTCGCTTTGAGAGGAACTTTGAGAATAAGAGCATATGGAATACTTAAATTTGGATATAATTTCTTCTGCTTGGATGAAGGAACCTTCAAGTCGCTTAGTTTGTAGGTGAGGAAAATCAGTTCATGAAAAATTATTTTATTTGCATTTCTTTTTATCCATCATGCCCATACTGCTGAACAAGACTTTTTTCTCTTTCTCTCTCACAGTCACACACACACACGTGGGTGTGAGTGACCTGTTTTTCTTTAGCAAAGATAAACCAGACAAGTTAAGTTGACAGAAGACACAAGTTCAATATGCTATCTCACTTCAGGTCTTTACCACTCGTCCACTGCATATTGGGGAGGCACAAATTACTGAAATGTGTACTAAACCTTATGATGTTGGCCAGTTGATCAGACTGTAAAACTCAGTGAAACAGTCAGACTTTTGATGAAATCTGTTTTAAAGATGATTCACCATTCTCTCTCTCCATTTGTCCTCCCTCTCTTCATTCATCCATCCCCTCTCTCTCTTTCTCTCTCTCTCTCTCTCTCTCTCTCTCTCTCTCTCTCTGTGTTTGTGTGTGTGTGTGTGTGT